GGATAGTCTGGTGAGGATACAAGTATTCCAAGAAGGGAAGCAAAACACCCTACAACTGTACCCATGAAGAAAAGAAAAACTGAATCAAAATTCAAGAAGGTGCTTTCTGGGCTAATTGCAATGCAAATTCAATTACTTCAAGTCTTTCACCTTAATCATAAAATGAAGACAAATGATCAGGAAACAGAGTAAATCAAAGGTGTAAGCAAAATATCTGTAAGACAATGATCAGGAAACAGAGTAAATCAAAGGTGTAAGCAAAATATCTGTAAAACGTATTTTAGAGAAGGCAGGGCGTGGTGGCACATGCCTTTAGTCACAGCACTAGGGAGGCAGAAGCATGCGGATCCTTGTGAGATCGAGGCCAGCCTGGTCTACACAGCCAGTGCCACACCAGCTGGGGCTATAAGGAGACCCTGACTCAAAAAGACCACTCCCCCAAAATGTATTTTACAGAGAGATAAGAAAGGCTATCCAGTTCAAAGGAATAGTCTACTTAAACTGTTTACATTTAAATTCTCCTCAGATCAATTTCTACTAAGGATATGAAATGTATCAAAGTGTATGTCTGAGCAAATCTTATAAACTAGATCACAACACATATACACTCAGGCATTGAGAATACTGATAAAGGGAACATTTGACACCTCCCCCCAAAGAAAGCACAATGGACTTTGAAGGGCTATGCCTATGGTACTCTGAAAGCTACACAGAATGATTCTGCAGCTACATTAAGCCTGAAGACATCAGGACATAGAGATTATGTATAGGTCACTATAAACTTGGGGGATTCTAGCTTCAGTCTTTTTTTCTTTTTGTCTTGTTAAGACAGTAGGGCTTTGTAGACCAAGCTGGCCTCAAACTCAGAGATCCACCTGCTTCTGCTTACTGAGTGCTAGGATTAAAGGCATGCACCATCATACCTGGCCCAATTTCAGTCTTTTTTTTTTTAAGTATTATTTTATTATTTTTATTTTATGTGTATGTGTGTATTGTCTGCATGTATATGAGAGCACCCATGTTGTGCAATGCTGCAGATCAGAAGAGGGTGTTGGATTCCCCTGGAACTGGAATTAAGGACAGTTCATAGCCGCCATGTGGGTGCTGGGAATCGAACCCAGGTCCTGTGCAAGAGCAGTCAGTGCTCTTAACCACTGAGCCATCTCTCCAGCCCCCAACTTCAGCCTTAAATAATAGAAAAACTATTTTAGAATAAACAACCATTTAAAAAAATGTAGAGAATGCAAATGAACTCTACGAAGAAGTAACTGTTCATGTCTGAAATCTCAATTTATGCAACAATAAGGGATACCACTTGACCCAAAATTCCAAGTCAAAACACAGGAAAGAAATTAGGCTGGCACCTTGTCTTTACATTTTGAAACTAAAAAAGAATAACACACATAAGTGTCCAGCTTTCTAGCTACTATGGAAAGTTGAGAATTCCTGGAGTCAATTTTTCTGACATTTTATATTTCTTTCCAGGACTCAAATTCTTCTGAGGTAAGGACAGAGGGTAATCTCTGAAAAGACAGCATCCCCTCCACAGCAACAATATGAGACAGACTGTACACTCCAAGATCTAGTAAGGATAAAAACGGACTGTCTGCTAGTACTTGTCTATAATGTGATACTAGACAGCAAGGAAAATGAATAAATCACAAGCTCAGATAACAGGTACTTTACATATACTAAGCAAAAAAAAAAAAAAAAAAAAAAGGCAACAAGAAAGCAATTTTTTCGTAAAGTCCAAAATCAGGAGGCCAGGTGCAGTGGCCCACACCCTTAATCCCAGCACTTGGGAGGCAGAGACAGGTGGATCTCTGTGAGATAGAGGCCAGTCTGGTCTACATAGCCGGTTCTAGGTCAGTTAGGGCTACGTGGAGACCCTGTCTAAAAAAAAAATCATGACCCAGTGGCTCTGGTGTCTTACCCATATTTATTTCTCAGTCTTATAGTTATTACAGGTATTCGCTCTGCAATTATTAATTAGACTATATATTATTTAATACATATTTCTATAAATAATATATCTCATTACAAAATAAATAATTTGACTAAAATTTTAATGGATTCAAAACCTGAGCTGTGCAAGCAGCTGAGCTGGATCTACAACATGCATTCTAGTGACCTCCAAAGACAGGTCCCATCACACAACCAAAGCCAGCTCAAATACTGAAAGACATAAAGCAAAACTGGACATCTGTCCAAGTACAACATATGTTATGAAAAAAAAAAAATCACCCTTGATAGGCAGAGTAAAATTTCCTCAATCATGGGATTTCCTCCAAAACATGCTGGCATCACATCAGAACCAAGCCAAGTGCAGAATGTGTCACAGGCACTCCTCTCCAGTCCTCTCATCACAGTTCTGATTTCAGAAACCACTGTCTGACCCAAAGTGTCATTATGGTGGGAAAGTCAGAACATTACAGAAATTTTTGGGTTTTACTTACAGCCTGAGCTAGAAGTGTTTAAATAACCTAGAGACTGTAACATTTCATATCAGAAGTGGCATTAAGCCAGAGGCCAGAAGGCCCTGGATTGCCTCCTTACTCTTTCTTTTTTAAAAAATATTTTATTATTTTTATTTTATGTGTATGAGCATACTGCCTGCATGTATGTGAGTGCAGCTGTGTCATGCAATGCTGCAGATGTCAGAAGAGGGCTTCAGATTCCCCTGAAACTGGAGTTAAGGACAGTAAGTAGCTGCCATGTGTGTGTTGGGAATCAAACCCAGGTCCTCTGCAAGAGTAGTCAGTGCTCTTAACCACTGGGCCACCTCTCCAGCCCCACCTCCTTACTAAACAGGATGGTGGAAAGAGTGGTAACCCTGTTAGATATAGAAGGGAAAGAGGCAGCAAAACAGTACATACACGGGCCTAAAACAAGAGAGAATGTACAAAAGTGTCCACATTCCAGACAAACCACAAATCACAGAAAAGCAACTATTAGCAGCAGCAAGAAAAAAAAGACAAATTAACAACAATTAGAGTGACATATGACTTCTTACAGCAATAATGGCTGCCAGAAATCAGTGGAATGTTCTCTTCAAAGAGCTGAGAAATTCCTAAAATTCTGTGCATATAGTAACAATGAGTTTATACACAGGGATTCTCAGTGCCCACTAAACTGATGGAACAAAGAAGTACTTATAGAAACCCTTACAGAGGAAGATACCACACATCTCTCATCAACTGAATAAGCAGAAGAAAAATCAGAAACAGAGCTGGGCGTGGTGGTGCACACCTTTAATCCCAGCACTGAAGTGGCAGAGGCAGAAGGATCTCTGTGAGTTCAAGGCCAGCCTGTCTATATAGAATTACAGAGCAGCTTGGGACTAGAGGGATACCCTGTTTCAAAAGGACTAAAGGAAAAAAGAAAAATATGAAATAAAGAAAATTTTACAATTAATGTGTACATGCTTGCACAAGTAGCTTCAGGCTGGAGGAACAAAACTATCAATATATAGTAGCAAAAAGTAAAGTAGAGCTGGAGAGATGGCTCAACAATTAAGAACACTGGTTATTCTTGTAGAAGACCCAGGTTCGAATCCCAGTACCCACATGGCAGCTAACAACTGTCCGTAACTCCAATTCTAGGGGATCTGACAGCCTCTCTGACCTCTGCAGGCATTGCACAACACGGGTGCACTTACCTATATGCAGGCAATACACGCATACACATAAAATAAAAAGTAAAGTAGCCAGATGTGGTGGCGTACACCTTTGGTCCCAGCACTTGGGAAGCAAGCGGATCTCTGAGTTCAAGGCCAGCCTGGTCTACATGGCGAGTTCCAGGTCAGCTGGGGCTACAAGGAGCTCTGTCTCAAAAAAAAAAAAAAAAAAAAAAAACAAACAAACAATTTGACTAGAACAGACTATAACAACCACCTGATTACTACAGGCTTTCCACCCCCATCTTCTAAAATCTTAATGCAGCTTTTTGCCCAATCTAACCTTTTGTACAAAAAGTATAGACCTTCCACCAAAACCCCAAAAGAATATCCTATCAAACATCTTAATGTGTAAGAAAACTATAAAAACAAACCCCAGTTTCCTAAAGCTTTACTAACTTATCTTTTACTGTAGGTTTTTTTAAAGTGTGTTTTCCTCATTGAAGCACCAG